ACCTCCACCTCCACCTCCGCCGCAGCAGCAGAACCCACTCGTTGGATATCGTCTTCCTGCCCCCTTGTCTATTGACAACCAACCTCTTACCTCTGCAACATATATTCCAGGCCACGATACAATTGGCGTCGGAATTCCACCTTTGTTCGAACCCGGCAGGACTGGGTACGATGCCAGCTATCCACAGCAAAGACCTGTGGCTAAACAAACCTATGACTACCCTACCACAACCAACAACGGGACGTATAACCCTGGGAATTATAACCCACAGACACCCCGGGGGTATGAATGTCCCGCCACATCTTCATGGAACTGTACACGAAATACAGTCAAATGAGAATCTGCAACAGAACCAAAGCCCAGGTGTGGAACTCGCGAAATCACCCAGCCATCGCCACAATACCAGTGGTGCATCGTTAGGAGGTCTTTCGCCAAGCGAGGCCGCGATTTATTGGCCGCTCGATCGAGTCCTTATGTGGCTTGCCAAGATGGGGTTCTCCAACGATTGGCAGGAAACATTTAAATCTTTGGAGCTTCAAGGCGCAGACTTTCTTGAGCTTGGTCTTGCGTGGGGTGGACGGGGAAACCTTGGCAAGATCCATAAAGTCGTATACCCTCAGTTGGCGAAAGAGTGTGCCCGCAGTGGAACTGGATGGGACTCGACTCGTGAACGAGAAGAAGGACTGCGCTTGCGCAAGCTGATTCGCTCCATCAACGATGGCAACCCGGACTCTTCCATCTCTACACCGTTACGGCAGGAGCCCCCTGCGTTCCCACTGTCTTCCACTGATACTGGCACGACTTTTCATCCCGCCCAGATTTCTGAGCCCCGGTCGGCTGGTCCTACACCTGGGGTGAACGACATCAGTCCCGGCCAGTTAGCGGAGTTGCACGCCTCGACCCAGTCTCAAAAGCAAGGCCCGCATTTGCGCTCTGTCACACAGCCTCTCCCTGCTGGCTACGAGTCGCCAAAGTACGAGTCGCCGATTCGAGAGCATTCCACTCTGCAGCGATCAGAATATTCTAGGAACACGCTTGCGCAAATGAATGACCATAAGCGCCAAAGCCCTTCTCTCTCCAGCGACCATGGCACATTTTCAGGTTCATCTCGCCGGCCCCAAGATAGTCCGAAAAGTGGCAGCCCAGCTCTGCAGTATGCCTCGCCGTCATACCAGGGTCTAACATCAACCTCGACCGGCGACTTGACCCTTGGGAGATACGAGCATTCCCGCGGGAATAGTGCGGATTCAACTGGTCGGGGGAATGGAAATGTTGGTCGGTACTATGACAACCGTAGACAGGGCCACGAGGGTGCACGCCCTTCTCCTCAAGAAACAAATTCTCGACCATGGAGCGGCGAAACCCCTACTTCATATAGAGAGCATAACAAGGGATTCTTGAATATGTTCAAAAGGAAGGCCAGGGCAAATGAATATCCGTCCCCGGAAGAGCAGCATTCACCTTCAAGCCCAGAACCCCGGCCTAATGGATCCGGTGGCTCTTATACTCCTTATTCGAAGCCAGGGTTCAATATTAGCGACATGTCACTAGGAGATCGACCTTCCTCGTCAGCAACTAAAGTGAAGCGATGGGTTTTTGCAACTACAGATGGTCTCAACTACCGCCTCATTGACGTTTCTGATATGGAGTCGGTGGAAGCTTTGCGTGCAGGAATTTGTAAGGACCTTGGTCTAAATGATTGGGCGAGTGCACAGATTTTCCTCACCGAGCCAGGGCAACACCATCACGATGATCCCATGAGTGACACCATGCTAGCAGTCTCTCGCCGAAACAAGTCTGATGCATATGGCTCTCTAAAGTTGTTTGTCCAGGCAAATTCCTCTCATCCGGCAATACCATATGGCCTTGGCGTTTCAATACCCCATGACAAGGCCGCGTCGTCCCCTACAACATTGACACACCCTGTTATTCCTCGCAAGCCATTGGAGCCCGAAGCCCTGGACCGAATATCTCCCCAGGCAACGGCCAAGCCTGCATCGCCTTTCCCTGCCCCTGGACAGTCAACCTCGAAGCCTTCAGTCACAAAAACAACCCCAGATAGCACCGAATCTGCAACCCTTTTGGACGCCGAGCAAACTGATCTCCACTCACGGCACGAGGCTCATCTTCGCGAGGTCGAGCGGAAGCAAAGAGAGCACCGAGTCTCCCGCGTTCCTCCCAATTCCCAGCCAGGCTTCACAGGGACTTACGGTGAAACCGGTTATAGACGTACAGGGATTATCGACTTCAACACACCTCGTATCTCGCCTTATGAAGAGAAAAAGGAGGAGTTACAACAAGAGCAACAGCTACAGCTACAACTTCAGCAACAGCAGGAAGGACTGGTGCCCCGGCGCAACCCACCAGTTGCTCCCAATGAATCGAACACGCTCACCAAAGTCAATTCTCTCAGAAAAGGCCCCGGCGATCGCCCCATTCGAGCACAGCCTGGCCTTGGGGCTGCTCTCGCCAATATGGGTCGCATGACTAGTTCAATTGGCACGCCATCTCCTTCAGTTCCAGTTCCTCCCACGCCTTCGTCCATTAACCAAGATAGCACTGGCTCGGATTCTGATCGACCGCAGACACTCGACTCTGCAGCTTCGGCTTCGAGTAAGACAACACTGGAATCGTCGAGGACTGGCCCCAAATTTTTCTCAGAACAAGACAGTGAAAGGACACCGTCCCCACGCAGCACATCCAAATCTTCGCAGCCATCAAGAAAGTCAGTCGGACCAGAGTTCGAGTTTGAAGAAAGTGAAGTTTCCTTCGCACGAACACATTTCTCCAACGAAGATTCCGATGAATCTGATGATGATTCCGATGACGGTCTTTTTGCTATTCGCCCCTCGAGAACAGAGCCCGAAGAGACGGAACCTGAGAAAAAGCCGACCCTCACCGTAGACACGCACAATAACAAGCGTCGGACTGTTACGATCCAGTCACCCAAGTCTGCTGCCAAGAGCTCATCATATTTCATGCCTTCGTCCTACAGCTCCGGCGGAGAGGCTTCCGACAACCCTGACCAATGCTCAGGCGGCTCCCACGGAACGGCTTCGCCTGCGAACGAAAGACTACCTCGAAGGGAGTCCTTTGCTAGCGACCTTTGGGCCAGCAGACCTCCTGTTGAGGGCGTTATTGACAACCTGGACAGCTTCTTCCCAAATGTCGACCTTGATGCACCCTATCTCGAAGAGCCTCCATCGCCGAACAATAAGATGAACGGTGACAATGACGCAACTCTTCGGGGAAAGCCGCAAATTCCACAAACTCCATCTATTCCTCAAGCCGGCTCTGATGCATCGACTGTGCGTCCGACCTCAGTCGCTGTACGCAACATCAACCGGAGTGGCGGCGGCCTTTCGCGCACAAAATCCATTCGACAGGTCGCCCAGGGCGCTCACCGGACGAAGAGCATCGGTCCCGCTACTGGCCCTCGAAAATCAGGTGATCTGTTGCGACGCAAGAGCACCAAAATGTTTGGCCATAAAATTATGCAAATCAGTCCAAAGCCTGGGACCCGACTCAGCCAACTCGATCCTATCCCTCAGCACACCAGCTCGCCAGGGCCAGTTGAAGCAGTTCCACAACGCCAGCAAACCTTCCGCATCATCCGAGGTCAGCTTATTGGCAAGGGTACCTATGGTCGTGTGTATCTCGGTATCAACGCCGATAATGGTGAAGTTTTAGCGGTAAAGCAAGTCGAAATCAACGCGAGGATTGCTGGAAATGACAGAGACCGAATTAAGGAGATGGTGGCTGCTTTGGATCAGGAAATCGACACGATGCAACATCTCGAACATCCTAATATTGTCCAATATCTTGGTTGCGAGCGAGGAGACCTTTCAATTTCCATCTACCTGGAGTATATCTCTGGTGGCTCTATTGGCAGTTGTCTTCGCAAGCACGGCAAGTTTGAGGAAAGCGTTGTCAAATCTCTTACACGTCAGACACTGGGCGGCCTGGCTTACCTCCACGACATGGGTATTCTCCATCGTGATTTGAAAGCAGACAATATTCTTTTGGATGTTGATGGCACCTGCAAAATCTCCGACTTCGGTATCTCGAAGAAGACAGACGACATATACGGAAATGATTCCAGCAACTCTATGCAGGGTACGGTCTTCTGGATGGCCCCGGAGGTCATTCAGTCCCAGGGCCAGGGCTATAGCGCGAAGGTCGACATCTGGTCTCTTGGATGTGTGGTGCTAGAAATGTTTGCTGGTCGCCGGCCCTGGAGCAAAGAGGAGGCTATCGGCGCCATCTTCAAGCTCGGCAGTCTCGGCCAAGCGCCTCCTATTCCGGAAGATGTCTCTGTGAGCATCAGCCCCGCTGCTCTTGCATTCATGTATGACTGCTTCACAGTGTAAGTTCTATCCCATACCGCGCTTTTTTTTGTCTTCAAGTCAGTATCTAACTTGTCTATAGTAACTCCTCGGAACGTCCAACTGCTGGGACTCTGCTCACACGCCACCCATTCTGTGAATCAGACCCCAATTACAACTTCCTTGAGACGGAGCTATATGCCAAGATTCGAGACGTTTACTGAGCCTCTTGTTGATTCTTTACGGGTCTTGGAAATACATACGATTGATTGGACATGGTAATAAGGCGTTTCTCGTTCTTGTATCTAGTACATACATACCCCCAGGTGTTTTGTTTTCATTCAGGCGGAAAATCGGCCACGGTCAATGGATTGGGAAACGATGTCCACGGATTTTGCACATAATGAGATTCATTCATGAAAGACTGGTAGAAACTTTACACAAGACACTTACTTGTGACCAGAAAAATAGTGAATATCAACTTTGTCCCCCTCTAATGCGACATTTAAAACACAAATATTATCCACCACTGGTCACCCCTGCACCCTACTACTAGTTAGTAGCAGTGCCTGGTACTACCAGGTAGTACATCTCTCGAAAGGAGTATCTTCAAGCTTTCCAAGCTTCCAGGGTTGTTTAGATAAACCTGGCCCTTTCTCGTCGTCTCAATCTTTTTCATGCCATTTCCTTCTTGGGAATCCATTCATTATACTCATCAATCCTGTCATGGCACGGCCAATCAGGCCTCAGGTAATTTTCGCACGGATTCTCATCGTCAAAATACTCATCAATGCCCATATTGGCGATGTTGAGATTCATCCATATGATGTGTGCCTCGCGCCCAGGTAACCGGCCGTACATAAAGCCGCGAAACGCTGGTTGTTTCACGCCCTCTAGTAGCTCGCGGGCTTCTTGATCGTCTGGATTCGGCTGGCCGACATAAGTCTGATCGGTTATAATAACCTTGAGATCGTTCCCAGACTGCAGGTCAGCGAAAACAAGAGGTTTTTCGCAGCCATTGTGGACTTCTGTGTAGAGCCTCCACATATCGGCCAGTGTCCCGTCTTCCGCATCTGGCTCATCTTCCTTCCAAGGGACAGCGCAAATGACCTTCTTGCCCCAATCATCGTCATCGATTTCGTGCATAGTCTGGATCTCCTCGTAAAGTGCCCTGGCTTGCTCATCACTAAGCTTGTTTGTGAGAAAGAACAGCGGGAGCGAATTCATACGCCCAATAGCATTCCAAGGGTGCGAAATGGGGTAAAAGGGCTCGTTGAATCCGGATATGATGCGTGAAGACGGCAAAAATTCCATTTGTCCATCTCGGTAGTATCTCGCAAAGTCCAAGGCGGTTGGTCGCCCTCTTTTGTATTGTACCATTTCACTCAACGTAATCTGACGAATACCGGGTCCCATTTCAGTATCCTCAACAGATATAAACCCAATCAGAGCCTCGCTGCATTTCTCAATCGGCTTCATGAGAATATATAGTGAATTGAAAGACTTGTTGTCCGTATAAGCGGCGACTGCTTCAAAAACATTCAAGATATCGCGACGGGATGGTGGTCGCGTTTGTTCCCAAGCAATCAGATGGACACTCGGCTCAGGGTATCTCGCATCGTGGTAGCTCAAGATGGAGTCCACAGAGTCATCCTCGTCGTCGTCGTCGTTCCACCCACTCTCCTCGTTGGTCTCGCTCATGCTTATCTTATTTTGCTTTGCCTCTGCCTTTATCACGAGCTCTTTTCTTCGCTTTTGTCTGTCCTTCTCGAACTCGAAATGCACAGCATCTTTCAAAACAGACAGTATGTTTTCACGTTCCGTTTGAGTGGTCTGAAAGCCGAGCATTATATTGATATTTGGCGTTCTCATTTGGAGGTTCAAGTCAGGTGGGAATTTGATTACTTCTTCCAGATTCCTTTCTACCTGAGATGCGATGTTTAAAACCAACTCAACAGGCAATGGCGTATTCCTTGATAGGGCCGCTATAGCAGAAGCCGAGATCTCCTCGTGGCCAAAGAAGTCCATTGTGCTTGGAGTAAACACAGGACGGTCTGGGTCATGGAGCTCGAGCCCAAGCTCTGAGTACACCGTTGTCACGGATTGTTCGTTCCTCGAGTTGTTGAAATCTTGTGAGATGTCGAAATTCTCCACGGCTGCTAACAAGGCAAAATTGTCGTCGTCTTCCAACGTTGAACGCTTGGCAATAATGCGAAGCTGGTCAGACTGTTCCCTCTGCCTCATGGAAATCATCCCCACGGAGATGCGCTCATCTTCTCCACGCAGAGGGAATTGCCCCTCAACTCGGCGCTTTGTCAACTCATCTGCGAAGATAAAACCTGAATATCCATTCCGGTAGGCCACGATGGCAAGTCCATATAAGTTAGCTTGGCTGTCCCTGTACTCTCGTTGTGGCGCAAGAGATCGCAAGACTTGACGGTTTGGGCACCACGTCAGGATTTGAAAGTCGCAGGTCGCTGGTTGGAGGTGGTTTTTGAGCTTCTCCTTATGAGGCTTTTCAAAATCAGCTAGGAAGACTAGCAGAAGGGATTCGGGCCGGCCAGGCCTCGTTTCCGGTGAAGGTAGACCGGTGCAAAGCGCCCTATATGACGGCGCGTCCGTGTCTCTGTTCATATGGCTCATCAACACTAGCTGTAAGGATAATTACTGCGAGCATTTCTAGGGGTGACAGCGGCTTGATATGGTTTATATACGAGCGTCTGCCAGGCTGTACTGCTCCACTTCACGGGGCTGCCTTGGCCCCACGGGGCTGTGCTGCCTGAACTTTGACGCTGCTGATTCTAGCGATCTGCAATCTTTGGCGGATTCAACACAAGAAAAGCATCGGTGGGAGTGTCGAATCGTGAATTTTATACGTAAGTATCTAGGGGTTTTGCAGGGCCTCGGATTTCTGGTTCGAGAGCTTATTGCTGGTCATACATGTACATTTACTGCGCTAACTATTCCATGTGGTATCTATGAGGGCTCAAAAAGTAAAATAAAGACTCATGAGCTCGTGCTTAGAACATCATCGTCATCGTCATCGTCATCCAGGTCAGTCTGTTCGGCCTGAAGGCCTGCGACACCGACTCGGAAGACACCCTCGCACCACTCTGCAAATGTCTCAATATCCCAGGCTGCATCGTCACGGTCTTTGCCTTTTGTGATGACGGAATTTCCCTTGCCCTTCTCCGAAGAGGTGTACTTGTCCAAGAAGTCTTCATATATCTGAATCGTGCGATCTTGCACCGCACCAACAAGAGTCTCCTTCATGCGGGTATCATCAATATATGCGTTCAGAATTTTTCGAAGGTTCGGTACCTCCTTTTCGATAGTATGGCAAGTGGGATGGGTGAGTTCCCCAGGCTGTAAATTTCGTGTATCCACAAACTTGGATGGCAAAGAAGCAGTCATCCGAGCGGCAAATGCATTGATAAAATCGTTAATGACGGTGCGGAGACGCCCATCAAGTTCAACCTTGGCATCAAGCATGTTCTCCACAACACGTGGAACGAGGCCATGCCCGACAAGACGCATCAAGTTACGAGGGTTGAACAAACCACCACGTTCACGCAGCTCCCAAAAGGTGCTGGTGACACCAGAGAAGTCAAGTGAGACGTCCGGAGCAACGAATTCAATGTCAAAAGCAACAATCTGCTGTTTTAAAATGAGAAGATGACTCATTAAGAACAGTTGTCCGTCAGCCGGCGTGGATTTCCCGGAGATCATGAGACTGGCGCTATGAAGAGATTCGGTAGTTTGGTGAACGATCTGATGTGCGAGATCATCAAAGACAGTTGACTGGGACATATGCATAAGTATTATGATGAAGTAAATCAAACTTGGTATAAGAGACTTACATTGACAAGCCGATAGATTCGGCTGAGAAGCCAAATTGCCTTTCTCAATGTCGGATACCATCCTTTCAAGGCGGTTTGGGTCTCAAAATCCCACTTCCCACCTTTATCTTGTGCAGCATCCTCAGCAGTTTCACCTTCCTTGGTAGTATTTGTCATGTCAATCATGGTATCGGCTGTAGTGTCTTTTTTGCCTGATATCTGCGTGTCGGTGATTGTCAAGGATACTTGTCGGCTATGCATTGGATAATCAATATCCTCCGGGCGAGGCTTGTAACGCTCAATGCTATCTTGAAGTATTGCTTGAGCACGGAAGACTAGGCGTGTTTGAACGTCCTGTAGAGCAGGCTGAATCAAAATAGAAAAGTCGAGCTGATTCGTATCTGTGGGCTCTGCTTCATCTTCCGGGTCCAAGAAATACCGTGTTTGCAGCAAGGTGCAAAGTTGACAGAGATTGACGATATCGGTCTCATGAATAATGCGAGGGCGGAGATGGTCATACAGTGGCTCGCAAATAGCTTCAAGAAAATCATACAATCCTCCTTGGCCGTGGAACCATTCTCCCCAGAGATCATATTCATCCAAACACAGCCCTCGGATGTAGCTGATGCTCGCTCTCGCAAATGAGACTAGATCCTTGGACGAACTAGGCGTTTGGGTAATCTCAATGAGCTTCTTGCGTGCGAGGGGCACTATGAGTCGTGCTCGGGTGGATGCATAATTGTTGTGCAGCTCGTTCATCAAGCTCTGATACTCGGCTTCGTTATTTTGGTCAGGGTTGAGGGGCGGGACTGCTCTCTTCTGGATTTCCACGCCAATCTGTTTCATATCCGGTGCACCAACTCTGAATTTGGCGTATAGGAGAGCAGACAGTGCCGTATCATTCAATTGCTGATCGGATATCTTTTTTGAAACGTTTTGGTAGATATCTCGAAGGGCGCTTACGAAGTTTCCGCGGATGAGGGTAAGGGCGCGGGTGAGGAGTAGTCGGTATCTGGAGCGATAGACCTCTGCTTCTTTTTGCTCGGGCTGGAATGAATGTCAGTCGAGAATCAAATCATACAGAGCAAAGCGAAACTGACATGTCTTTCCATGTAGTCTAAGCAAACATCTAGACGCCTCAGCATATCAGAGAACTCCTTATCGCGGACCGTATTTCCAGCGCCTGGCGCATTGAGCCGTCGCGAGGCAGGGTCCAAGAAGTCATAATAATGGAGATTATTCTGAATTCCATTTGCCAGTTTCGTGTCCCGTTCTTGGGCAGCTAGCAGCCCTTCACATTGCTTCTCGAAGTTGGATGTTTGCGACTCGACAGATCTGAATGATTCGGATAGGTTGGAAAGGTCATCGAGGAGGGTCAATGTGCTCGTAAGTATTTCATCTATGTGTTCTTTCGATTGCTGAAGGTCATCCAAGGTGCCCCTATTTCATAAAAAGCATAGCCGGTTAGTCTTACTGGTGTCCTACCCCGACATTGATGGCACATACTGATATTGGTCGTAGCTTTCCTCAACCAGGTCATCCTTGACACCATTCAGCCATGACGAGAATTCAAGCTCATTATTCCAGTTCGGAATATTGCTTTTCAGCAAATCCGAGGAGTGCTCTTGTGTTGTTTCGAGGCCGGGTTGGGTTTCAAGAGCGGTTGGTTGCCGCGGCGGTCCAGATGGTGCAGTCTGGCGGCGGGCACGCTGCTGCTTTGTGGATGGCATGGTGCAGTCAGAGGCCCGTATGGAGAGAAGAAGGCAGACTCCAGCTCATACCTTCCTCAATACCTGCAAAAAGCTAGCTGCTAGAGAGAAAGCGAATGCGAATGCGAAGTGCGAGGTGTTCAACTGCGCCCACGACCGCCGCATTCTGCCACCTAATTCCGCCTCTTCATCTGACGCAAAGCTTCCCCAGCTAGTTTGGCCCAAATTGTTTCGAAGCTTCCTAGTCATGCACTAAACAAGATCGAAAGAACCAACCAATATGATGATCACTCAAGTGCGACGGCCTGCGACGCAGCTGGCTCGTCTCACCAGCCTTCCCCGCGCCGCTTCTCGTCCCACTCTCAATGCGCCCTGGCGCCGTTTCGCAAGTGGTAACTCGAAATCGAACCCATCGTCGCATTGGCTTCGCAATTCTTTCGGGTTTGCCCTGGCTGGAACCGCAACTTATCTCGGCTATACATATATGAATGGCGACTGGGAGGCTTGGATCGAGCGTCAGAAGGAGGTGAAAAAGGAAGTCATCGATGTGAATGACCTTCGTGCCGACTTTATCCAAGAGAAGCGAAGTTTAAAGAGCCCCGGAGTCTATACATGGGGCTCTAACGCTCACAAGGTTGTTGCTCCGGAATCCAAGGATTCAGATGTCAAAACACCCCGACGCTTTAAGTATTTCAATGGCCAAGTTCTGCGGGATTTCAAGATTGATGAGAAGTCGGGCGCCGCAATCACAGAGAATGGAGACCTGGTTCAGTGGGGTAAAGGGTATTCAGAGACTGAGTACAAGCCGACAAAGACCCTGATTGGCAAGAATTTGAAATCGCTTGCACTTTCCGAAAGCCGTATTGTCGCATTATCTTCGGATGGAACCATTTACTCTCTACCCATCTCCAAACACGACCAAGACAGTGGGCCGAAATCGCGGGAGAGCTCCTGGGTGCCTTTCTGGGGTAGTCAATCCACATTGAGCTATCGTGTTCTCAAGCCGTCATTGAAACTTGGAGAGAGTGTTACTTTGATCCGAGGTGGCCTGGAGCATGTGGTTCTACTTACCAGCTCTGGTCGTGTTTTTACTGCAGCTGCATCCACAGAACACTATCCATCGCTCGGCCAACTTGGTGTGCCTGGGCTCTCCTTCGCCACACGACCAAGCGGACCTGTCGATTCATGTCATGAAGTCACAAGCCTCAAGGGCTCTAAGATTACCCAAATCGCCTCAGGGGACTACCATTCACTGGCATTGAGCAAAGATGGAAAGCTGTTCGCTTGGGGCGATAACTCCTTTGGGCAGCTTGGCGTGGAGTTTCTTCCGGAACACCCATTCAACGACACACCTTCCGCTCTCTCTTTGAAGAAGCTATACCGTCTAAGCATCTATTCGCCAAAGGTTACTAGCATAGCCGCCGGTGGAGCCAACACATTCTTCACCGTTGATTCCAAGCGAATTTTAAGCCCAGAGGAAGACAGCACCAAGGTCCGTGATCTGGGCAGAATCACCGCCGATACATGGTCCTGTGGTCGAGGTGTGTGGGGCACACTTGGTGCCGGCAAATGGATTCATTTACAAGACTCTCCCATCAAGGTGAAAGACTTGAGTGGCTTGGGCGAGTACGATGAGAAGACGAAGCAGATGCTCCCGATCCGCCTTCGCACCATGTCTGTCGGCACCACTCACGTCGCGGCATTGTTAGATAACCAGACGAATCTCAGTGCGACAAACACAGATGCCCTGGACAAATCAAATGACTGGGGGTACGAAGCCTTTTGGTGGGGAGGCAATGAGAACTTCCAACTGGGCACTGGAAAGCGAGCAAACCTCTCTAAACCGGCGTACATAAAGGCACCCTCAGAGTCTCCCAAGAATCCCGAGCCCGAGGCAAGACTGCAAATCATGCCACGACACAAAGGCAAGGTTGGGAAACGAAATGTGAAAATGGAACAACGTGTCGAGTGTGGCCGGCATGTCTCGGCCATATACTCAGCGGTATAGGCAAGGGTCGGTGAAAAAAGATTGTATGATATCTGTGTAACTAAATGTATATTTTAATTTGACCAACCATCTCAATTCGATGATCAATGCCTCTCGATAGTAGCAGCAGCAAGGACTCCATACTACGTAGTTCATAGTTCGTACTAATAGTCACCGTAAGCGGCATGTTGGTGCCTTAAGTGTAAGGCATCTCCGCATGCCGCCTCTGGTGACTATTATGGGCAGAAACTATAGGCGGTATGGTAGATACGCTTGGACCACTGCTTATCCAAAAAATTTCCAGCCGGCCAAGCTCTTTTTTCCCCAAACACCATTGACATGCCTCGCGAAAATCAAAAGAGAGGCCGACGGGCCGAGCAAAAGGCTCAAAAGGAAGAGGCCAAGCGTGACAATGACGATGCACTCGAGGCACCCTCAGCCAAGCGCATGAAGCCGTCTACCGACGCCGATGCCGATGCCGATGTGATCGCGACCTCCGACGCCTACAACGAGAACGCTGACTACATTCCTTTCGATACCGAAGATCAACAAGAAGATGCAGGTCGCGAGGATTCCGGTGATGTCTTCTTTGGTCTGCTCGACACTGAGGAGGCGGAATATTTCTCGCGGGCCAGTGAAATGCTCGAAGCGAACCAATTCGCCGACGCTGAAGAGAAGAACCTTTTCATCGAAAGTGTATACCAAGAGGCCAATGGGAAGGAATTGAAGATTGCCTGCAGTCAAGGCTGCTCGAGGCTCATGGAGAAATTGATCTCGATGTCAGATACTCGGCAAATCCGACGGATTTTCAGCAAATTCATTGGCCATTTCATGCATCTTGTACAGCACCGATTTGCTAGTCACTGCTGTGAAACCCTTTTCATTCACGCCGCCCCCGCTGTCATGGCGAAGACACCGAATTCTCAAAATAAGCGATCCAGCGAGGATGACGACAACAACGACCAAGATACCGAGCCTGAACTTTCGCTCGCCGATATGTTCATGGCCGTCATTGAGGAATTGAAGAGCAATTGGGGGTATCTACTGACAGAGCGATTTGCGTCGCATACTATCCGTGTGCTTTTGCTTGTCCTTGCAGGCGAGCCCGTGGATGTTGTGTCAAACGATTCGGTTGTCGCGAGCCGCAAGAAGGAGAGACTGGGTCTTCCTGGGGCCGGCTCTCAGGAGGAGAAGACCTCTACCAAGAAGCAAAAAGTCCCAGAGTCATTTGCGCCTGCATTGAAGAAGATCATGAATGATATGGTTGCTGGTCTGGACAACACCTACTTGAGAGCTTTGGCTAGCCACCCTGTTGGTAACCCCGTTCTGCAAGTTCTGCTATCCTTGGAGCTCTCCCATTTCGGCAAATCCAGTGCCAAGGATTCCAACTCTATTCTGCGACGACTCGTCCCCGACGAATCCTTTGAGGAGGGAACGGAATCCGCAACTTTCATTCGAGGTTTGCTGTACGACCCAGTCGGCTCCCGTTTGGTCGAAACAATGGTGCGTCATATGCCAGGCAAAGTCTTCAAGAACCTTTACAAGAACAATATCTCCGAGCGCATTGGATCGCTTTCCCGAAACACCACTGCGGGCTACGTCGTTCTTCGGACACTGGAGCGACTTGGAAAGGATGATCTGCAAGACGCAATGGAGCGCATCATTCCAGAGGTCCCGGGACTTATTGAGAGAACGCGTCTCATTGTACCACGGGTATTGATTGAGCGATGTGTTATTCGGAATGTCGATACCAAACCATTTGCAAAGGCACTCGAGGAAGCCTACGAGAAGGATCCCGCTATCCGACTCCGACAGATGCTCCGACTCGACGAGACAGTCGAGGAGAATCCCGAAGATCAGATCATGGAGGACGCAGATGACGAAGAGCGAGGAACAAGGAAGAGGTCGGGTAAAAACTCTGTCGCTTCCGCAGAGAAGCTCCATGGATCTCTTCTGGCACAAGCTATGTTGACAGTACCCGGTCCACTTGGGGATCTTGTATACTCTAGTCTTCTTGCGCAATCCTCCGATTCCGTTCTCAAGCTTTCCAAAGAACCTACTTCCTCCCGTGTTCTCCAACAAGCCTTGACACTCCCAACATCCACGCAGCAGTTCCGTCGACAGTTTAGCACTCGCTTCCAGGGCCACATGGTAGAGCTTGCTCTTCACAGCAGTGGGTCTCATGTGGTGGACGTACTCTGGTCAGCCACGAAGGATATCTTCTTCATCAAGGAGCGACTGGCCCAGGAGTTGGCACAAGGTGAAACGGCTCTGCGCGACTCCTTCCTGGGTCGAGCTGTGTGGCGTAACTGGTCGATGGATCTCCACAATCGCCGACGAGGTGAATGGAAAGCCCGAGCCAAGGGTATTGAGCAACAACCCGAGGGTGAAAACATCAACGGATTCCGACCGAAATCGAAGATCGAGCTTGCGGCCGAGCGATTTGCAGCCAAGCAGGCCGAAGCTGCAGCTGCAGCTGCTAAATGAGCGAAGCACATACCCATTTGATGAATTATAGAATACCATATTTGATGCGATTCGGCCTAGACGTCGGAGTGGCTGCATGCAGAAGGGCACAGGTCTCTGCACCTTAAACTCCCATTGGTCAACCTTATACCGATAAGTCTGGCTCGAAAAAAAGTTCATGTACGATAGATCAAAATGTTTCATGTGCCGAAGAGCAAGACAAGACTACTCGGTCTTTCCGTTATACAATGAAAGTACCTTAAAAGTAAAATTGAATAGTGGCAGATCTCGATAAGATTGCATTGCCCTGGGCATTTCCGCTGCGGGGCAAAACATTATCCCATTGCCTCTCTATTAAGATGCATTTCCAGGCATCGCTATCGGCATACGTAGAGGGAAAGGATGTGAGAATACAGTCAAGTTATAGCTAAATACATCTCCAGTTTTAATTCCAATGGATATGGCCATGTCCATTCTCTCTTCGAGCCAACTGATGATGTCAGGCACTCGGAGACTGTCGCCATCTCCGGCGACATCGGCGCATCGAGAACTTTTTTTTTCTTTGCCGAAACAACACTGTCTCTTCTCACCCTCTGCTGGCCCTTTTTCTCGTTCGCTGTTATTTACATACTCTCGTGGGTCAGTGCTCCACTGTACATATAACGCTTTGAGAGTCTAGCTATTGTGACGAATTGTCCAAATGTCGGGGATCTCGTCATCTAGCCGCGCCGATGAGGTGCAAAACGTGAGTCACTAGGCCTTGTGTATGGGATTGATGGGCAAATTGCATCAGAAAGTCCTGAAATCTAACGTTTCATCTTCCTATAGCTCTTGAAAGCCGTCGAAGATCTCCTCATTCCCTTTATCCGAGCTGCCGACGAGCCGACAGTCGAGAATGGTGCCAACGGCACCAATGGAACGAATGGCCTTAACGGAACGAATGGTGCAAATGGTCACTCATTCGGAGCATCCTTGGTCGACTATCGAAAGCCCGAGGAACTCCGAGATATCCTTCAACTTGAGATCCCCGAACAAGGTCGACGACAAGACGGTCTGATCGAAGTGTTGCAGAAAGTCCTGAAATACTCAGTCAACACCTGGCACCAGGGATTCCTAGACAAGCTATATGCCTCGACCAATGCTCCCGGTGTGGCAGCAGAATTGATTCTTGCAGCTCTGAATACCAATGTGCATGTTTACCAAGTCTCGCCAGCGTTGACAGTCATCGAGAAATATACCGGTCAGCGACTCGCGACTCTTTTTGGATTGAATGGACCGCGCGCTGGTGGAATCTCGGTGCAGGGCGGCTCGGCTTCTAATACCACTTCCATCGTTATTGCACGCAATAACCTCTACCCTAGCACCAAGGAGGATGGCAACGGTGGCTACAAGTTCGTGCTGTTCACCAGTGCCCACGGCCACTACAGTGTGGAAAAGGCCGCACAGATGCTTGGATTTGGTAGCCGGGCTGTCTGGGCTGTACCGATCGACAAGTATGGCCGTATGATTCCTGCAGAATTGGAGAAGCTGGTTCAGAAGGCCCAGAGTGAGGGACGAACACCCTTCTATGTGAATGCCACAGCTGGAACGACAGTAATGGGCTCCTTTGATCCCTTTGAGGAAATCGCAGCAATCTGTCAAAAGTATAACTTATGGTTCCACATTGACGGATCTTGGGGTGGCTCGTTTGTTTTCTCGCAGCGACAGAGGCATAAGCTGGCTGGCTCTGAGAAAGCTAACAGTATTGCGATCAACCCACACAAAATGCTCGGAGTTCCAGTGACATGTTCGTTCCTTCTGGCGTCCGATATGCGCCAGTTCCACAAGGCGAACACGCTTCCCGCGGGCTACCTCTTTCACAATGAGGATACCGCAAATGGGGATGGGCATGAAGCAGAGTTAGATGTGGATTCCCCCCGAAGTCTGGGACTTGGCAGACCTAACTTTGCAGTGTGGCCGTCGTGCCGATTCTTTGAAGCTGTTCCTGGGCTGGACATACTACGGATCCGAGGGTTATGAGCAGCAAATCGATAATGCGTGCGATATTGCTGCTCACCTGGCAACTCTCGTCTCGAAGAACCCGAACTTCATTCTCGTCAGCGAGAATGCGCCGCCGTGCTTGCAAGTTTGCTTCTACTATGCTCCTGGCAAGGAGTTCGTATACTCGCGGGAATCAGACATCGTTTCGAACGAAGAGAAGCGGGGCAAGAATAACAGTAAGGTCACCGAGCAGATCACACACGCCATTGTTTCCAAGGGCTTCATGGTGGATTTCGCGCCACCTAGCGGGGACGAGAATGCTGTTGGAAGTGGCAAATTCTTCCGATGCGTCGTCAATGTCTCCACGAGCAAAGAGACGGCGGAGTCTCTCGTACGTGCCATTGAAGAAGTTGGACCAGGTATCGTCGAGTCCTTGAAGGCGACTACACCAGTTGTTCCTCTGAAGCGACTGGCTGAACATGGACATGGGCCTGTTGTTCACCACACTTGAACAACGCCTCAAAGGTGGAATTTATACATATTTTTAGTTACATACATCAGATTAGACGCATAGATGGATATTATTGAATACAAACTGATCGGGGTTTTCTCTAGAGCCTTGAGTCTTTCTCCTATTTTCCGATTTCAACTCTGCGCTCCAGTACCGACCGGGCTTCGGCCTCTGACAGCCCATCGACCTCTAGCTCGACAAGCGCAGTCCGGGCGCTCTCGTTGTCTTTGAACAACCTCTTCTCCACGTCCCACAGACCCGGGGGCGATTCTGCATTATCGGTGCCATCTTTAACTGGCGATGCATCCAGTTGAAGGAGACGTAGGCCATCATTCAGCTTTTTCACAATCTGTAGAGCACCACCAGCTTGACCGGCAGTACCAAGAGAGGTATCGATCACATTGCAGATATGGTCAACATCGCTGAATAGCTGTGCTGCACCCGTCGCAGAAAACGCGTTTCTCATCAGTATGTTATCCCAAATATAAGTCTGTATGGAGAGAAGAAGCTGGCGGGATACCCGGCGAAGAGAAGCGACACCCAGTGCACGAGAGAGGAAGGAGACTTGGGTGGATAGAGTGCGGATTGTATGTGCCAGGTCAGATGTTAGGGAGAGAGGAGACGATGAGGCACCGGTGGAGGGGGTGGAAATAGTAGCCCAGGTCGATACACGAGAGTAAGGTTTTAAAGCAGCCGTTACGTTGGAAGTCAGCGTCGAGATAATGATGGATTCAGATCGCAATCGAAGACGGCGGTAGGCAGAGGCGGTTTCGTCAAAGAGCGCACCATCAGATGAGGACTGTTCACTGGCTGCGTCGTTGGTTGCCACGGCCGGAGAGGTACGAGATGCCACTTCCGCAATGGACATGTTGCCAGCGACATTCTTGCCACCGTCGCGGTTTTGACGAACCCGTTCTTGTAATTCGGACCATAACTCAACAAAGAACACGTCGTTGCTCCAGTCTTCCATTTTCTTTTCAAGGTACTCGGCACTTCCAAAGACTCTGCAGAGTCGCTCAAGGCCCGCAACACCTTCTACGCTGGCTTGGCCATTAGCACCCTGCACTGTGCGACCAATCGTAGATGTCATGGCAAGATATGCCTCCAAAGCGGAGTGGAGACGCTCATGAAATTGATCGAAGATGGTGATCTGAATGTCAATCAGGAATCGGAGTTTCTGGCTAAACGAAGTCAAAGGTTGATATCGTTCGGTAACGGTTTCCAGAAGATCGTTTACACGGATTGCAGCCTTAGTCGGCTTAGTCGCGGTGAGCTCAATGCCATCATAGTCGATATGCCCACTTTCGGGATTGTCGATAATATCCTTGTATCGAGCTAGTGCAAATTCTTTCTCAACTTGAAGCCAACGATCGTACCAGCCCTGCTTTGTCAGAACCTCCGAGGTCAGCCCTCTCCAATTTCCTTCTTGGTAAGGATCTGGTAGGTAATTCCAAGTCTCGCGAATGTCGTTGTCGAAGTTCATGAGCTCGTGGATGAAGTGGCTCAGCAATTGGGGGTGGTCTGCGATCTGAGGAAGAAATGAATCGATTTTCTGCCTCAACATGGGCAAAAGGGCGTTAATAAAAGCATGCAGTGCATTGTAAAAATTCCACTCAAAACATTGACCCGCAGCCTGGGCCTTTTTGTCGAGAATGGGTTGGAGATATGATGTGAAGTAGCCTCCGAATTGATTTATCAGATCCATGACGTGGGACAGGTAATATTCAGGCTAGAAGTGCATCAGTACATGTGCGTGTGCATATTGTAAGCTCACGGAATGGAAAATAGATACCTTGTCAAGTCTGTTGGTTGGCTTGTCGCCGCTAAAGTGATATTTAAATCGGAGCTCGAGAGGATGCACCATCACTTCCAATGGGAAGAGGACTGGGGGCTGAATAGTGGAACCAGGTGCTAACGCATCCCGACCTGGTAGCTCGCTATATTTTTGGTTAGCTGAGAGCGTGTGGACGGTGAGTAGATTTTGACATACGGCATTTGTAAATCGATCAGTAACTCAACATCTTGCCTCCACTTATCTAGTAACGAATCGGTGATATTTAGTTCCCGGGTTGGCCATTTCATAGTTTCAAGTGATTTTTGCAGTCGATCGCCGAAGAACCTCTTCAGTTGTTGTCTCAATGCAGAGGCGAGTTTCTCGGTATAGTCGATAAGGTGGGGCGCAGCTCCCTCGGCGGCGGGTTGGGCTTCTTTCAGCGACGACACAAGACTGCGGAGTCGAGCATATGGCTTCAGCGCGGCGCGGGGCTCGGAGGAAATGTTGGCGAGAGCTTCCTTGCTATTTCGAAACTGTTAGTCCACCTTGTTCAGTTATTCCACAATTCGGTGTGTGTGTGTAAGCCTACCTCAAATTTTCCGCCTCCCTTAGTAGCTCCACGTATCCCTTAGATAGCTCCAGGCGTTGAAACCTCGCCATGCTCTTCTCCAGTCGGTGCACTGCTTCATCGCTATTTTCGGATTGCGTAATGACCTTCAAGCGCTGGTCGATATCCGCCTGTTCCTCTGCAAATGTCGCCGCGCGATTGCGAGTGGCTTCAGCATGGTCAATAGATGCCTTCGTTGCGCTCGATAAAGCTTCCTGTGCTTCTGCTAGCTAATTAGGAATATGTCAGCTTGCATGTCTGAGGCCAGTGATAGAATCGTGAGGTTGAAGATAGAGGGGAAGCAGTACCTGCTTGCGTTGAAGCTCCTGCTGAGCGCGGAGGTTGGAGAGGAGAGAGTCCAGACTCTCCAGGTCGGACGTGACTTGAATCTTGTCATTTAAATAATCTTCCACTCGCGTTCGCTCATGCGCTGAGAGCGACGTGGAGGGCGCCATGGTTGAAGAGTGAAGGTAGCGGGGAGGCGCAAGGTGGTCCCGTAGTCCTTGCGATTGTGTTGATCTCCGATCTCCGCCTTCCGCTCTGACGTACCCGCGTTTTGTAGTGGCAACAGCCGCTTTCTTTTGGCACTTTTGCGCTTTTCTTACTGCAATTAAAAAAGCGAAAACAATGTCCAGTCCGGCGAAAAAGCGCAAGCGAAATGGCGTTGATACATCACCGCAGAAGACACGGAGTATTGAGTCCTTCTTCAAGGGGCCAGCAGCCCAACAGCCCAAACAGTCAGAACCTCAGCCGGAGGTGACTGAACAGACACTCTCAGACGAAGCATTGGCACGCAAGCTCCAAGAAGAATGGAACCAGGAGGGGAATTCCCCTTCAGTAGCTGCGGACAGCAATCAACCTACGTCAACAGTGTTAGAGGCACCCGCATCTACCCCAGCGCCTTCAATCCCCACGGACAACACACCTGCTCTTGCTGCTGCTACAACACCAACTCCACTAATGCCCAAGAAGAATACACTGTCACTACAGTCTTCTGTGGGAACAGAGGACTCGGTGTCGCTTACAGTGCCTCTCGACCAAAACCCGCAAACATTTGACACGGCCAAGTATGTGGCCGAACTACGAGCGCATTGGACCAGTCAGGGTGGCGATGCTTCCTATGCCTTGTTGACGAGGGCCTTTGTCCTTGCAAATGCGACAACCAGTCGTATCAAAATAGTCGACACACTGGTAAATTTCCTACGGCTCCTCATAGAGGCGGATCCTTCCAGCCTGTTGCCTGCTGTTTGGTTGGCGACCAATTCGATTTCACCACCATTCGACGAGCTAGAGCTAGGACTCGGTGGATCATCTATCTCCAAAGCTCTGAAGAAAATATATGGTCTCGATAATCAAGGATTGAAGACGCTCTATGATAAACACGGAGATGCTGGAGATGTTGCCTTTGAGGCCAAGAAGCGCCAAGCGTTCACCCTGGTCAAGCCAAAGCCGTTGAAAATCACGGGCGTATATCAATCGCTGCTCAAGATTGCGACGAGCAAGGGAACTGGTAGCCAGGAAATGAAGCAACGTATTGTTGAAAAGCTCTTGCAGGATACACGCGGTGCCGAAGAAAGCCGTTATATCGTTCGTACTCTCGTTCAAAATTTGCGAATCGGGGCTGTGAAGACGACAATGCTTATTGCGCTGGCTCGTGCATTTCTTTATTCCAAGCCCACTGGAGCGGATTTTGAGGTTCTATCTCAGCAAGAAACTGCGCGTCTGAGAAAAGACGAGCTCGCCGAGATGTACAGCAACGCCGAAGAAATTGTCAAGGCGTCATACGCCCGACATCCTAATTATAATGATCTCGTTCCATGTTTACTGGAGATTGGCGTGACCGAAGAGCTTCTCATTCGATGTGGTCTTGCATTACACATTCCTCTCAGGCCCATGCTGGGTAGTATCACCCGCGATCTTTCCGATATGTTGACGAAGCTTCAAGGGAGAGACTTTAGCTGCGAGTACAAGTACGACGGTCAACGGGCTCAAGTACATTGCGATGAAAATGGAAAAGTCTCCATCTTCTCTCGACATCTTGAGCTCATGACAGAAAAATACCCCGATCTTGTCTCTCTAGTTCCACAAATCCGCGGCGAAGGAGTGTCCAGCTTTATTCTAGAAGGGGAAGTGGTGGCTGTGGACCAGGCGACGGGCGATCTACAGCCCTTCCAAACCCTCACAAACCGAGCAAAAAAGAACGTCGAAATCGGCACAATCACTGTTGATGTGTGTCTATTTTCCTTCGATTTAATGTACCTTAATGGGGAGCCTCTTTTGGACCGACCATTCCGCGAACGCCGTGGGCTACTCCGCAGTCTTTTCGTCGAAATTCCCAACAAATTCACGTGGGTAAAGAGCATCGATGCTACATCTGTAGACTCGGAAATTGTTCTAGAGTTCTTCAAGAGCGCAACCGACACGAAATGCGAGGGTATAATGGTCAAAGTCCTCGATAACACAATCAAGATCAACGACCTAAAAGAGTCTACTCAGGCCATCGACGTCAAGGATATTCCAGGTAACACCGATCAACAAACGGAGCCCTCTGAACCCGCCAAACCAACAAAGGAGAAGAGTAACCGGCGCAAAGCCCTTCTGTCTACCTATGAGCCAGACAAGCGCCTCGAGTCATGGTTGAAAGTCAAAAAGGATTACAGCACCTCCTCCGAAACTCTTGACCTCATCCCTGTCGCGGGATGGCACGGCCAAGGCCGCAAAGCAAAATGGTGGTCCCCGATTCTTCTCGCGGTCCGAAACCCTGAGTCGGGAGTCTTGGAAGCCGTCACGAAATGCATGTCCGGATTTACGGACAAGTTCTACCAGGCGAATAAAGACAAATACACTCAAGGCAGTCCGAACGTCATCTCGCGTCCTAACTGGGTGCAATATTACGGTGAGCCGGATATCTGGTTTGAGCCACAGGAGGTTTGGGAGATGGCCTTTGCAGATATTACCCTAAGTCCGACTTACCCTGCGGCTATTGGACTGGTCAGCGAGGAGCGTGGGCTGAGTCTCCGGTTTCCGAGATTCCTAAGAGTGCGTGACGACAAGTCGATCGAAGAGGCGACGACGTCAGATTACCTGGCTCTTCTATGGAGGAAACAAGCTGATCGGACCAAGGATGCTCCGGAACAGCCTGAGCAGGAGGAGTGAGACGGGGACTGGGAGACAATTGCCGTGGCCGTTCCCGGCTTCTTGGGTTGTTTGCGGCGAGCATAAACCTAACACTTGGTATAGCTACATAGAAGGAAATATGGATAATAATGTTCATTTGAGTTTGCCGATAGATGGCGCTAAGAATAGAACTTGAATGATCGACGGAAGGAAATATCAGAAGAAAGAACAGGAGAAACAGCAGAAGTAAAATCGTTCGATGCGCAGCCAGATAAACCTATCCTGTGAGATACTATTAAACATGATGGTTCAACCCTATTGTTCCCGAACGCTTAGGACAAAGCACTAAGGCCTCGCCATTTTTGGGTAGAAATTCCTGACGCAATCTGCTGGCAATACCCTGGCCAGATACCCGATGAAGGGCAGACGAGGCGTTAACCTCACAAAATCTTGACGATGAGCACCATGAAAGATGCGAGCATAATGAGATGGCTCAGAATAACCTGTTGACGATGGGCACCATTGTACTGGGGAGGCGATGTTGCAGTAGTGGTGGGACCACTGGGGCTCTTGATGTTAGAACCACCGGGGTTGATTGTCTTCGTGGCCGTCACAGTGGTATTGGCATAATTTCCGCCGGTAGGAATTGGCACTACACCTGTGCCAGTGCTGATATCTCCAACGGGAGTAACCAAGGTGGTAACCTTTGTGGTGCATGGGCTAAGGTGAGGGCATGTGGTCTGGGTAACCGTCTTGGTGGTGACCTGTTCAGCCACGCTGGAGCTAATAGTCTGAGTTCCAGAGACTAGGCCAGTGCAGCCGGTACCCCCGTGGCACTTGGTGACAGTGACGAGACTCTTCGTGACAGTTGTGCTCTCGGAGCATTCTGTGTCGGTCTCAGTGAAAACAATGGTGATGGGACCACTTGGCTCATCACCGGGAAGGGTAGCGACAACTGGCACGGTGGTGTGGGTGTAGCTGGTGCCGACGATGGTCACAGTAGAAAAGGTTGCCACGGGATCAGGGACAGGAATGATCGGATTAGCCACAACGGCTCGGCGACCAAGGGCCTCGCGCCGGTGAAGCTCTTGGAGGGCTTCCAGGTCTGGTATGGAGCGTGTTAAGAAGTTTGACTGACGAATGGCACAATTGGGAAGGAGTAAAGAAACGCTGAGAGACAGGGTGTGAAGATGGAAACAAAACGACTTACCGATACTGCCGAGGGAGACGGTTGCCAGGAGCATAAGTGCCCAGAGCATCGCGATGGTGTTCAGATTGAATTGCATTTCGAAGATGAGATGCGACTTGAAAGCGAGTGAAGTTCAAGTTGGTAGTCAGAGATCAGAAACGAAAGAAGTGGAATGGTGGTGGATGAAAGTGAGTGAAGCGAGCGTGAGAGAGAGAAGACAAGAGGAAGAAAGAAAGAGAGAGAAGAGAAGGTGAAGGTGAAGATGAGCAAGTGAGGCAGCCGTTATTCCCGGTCAGGCAAGTAGGTGGTGGTCATGCCTTCCTGAACTGGAAATGTGAGAATCACGAGGTTTTGTTTTGTTTTGATTTATTTATGCACAGAAGGAAGGTGCGAATGTTGTAGTTCTTTGACTTTGACTTTGACTGTATATAATACTAGTAGTCGTACTAGTAGTGGAACTATCCTAGTATACAAGATAACTTGATCCAACTTCCTTGCTAGCAGAACCAGATAACCCTCGGGACAATAGAAATTATTGGAACCTAGTATGCTTGCTTATTCACAAATGGCCAATAGCTGCCTGTGGTAGTAAAGAGATCTATAGTCTCCAAGGTTAACAAACAATCTTAAGGTAGTACTAGCAGTCAGTGCATGGCCTAGCAGAAGACTTCAGGTATTTAAACAACCCCAACTAATCACCCAAACGAGTCTACAATTGCAGTTGCAGTTGCTTCAAGTTCATTTAAACTATAAGCCACAGCCTCAACCACGATCTTGACTGTCTCAGATAAATTAATAGTTTGTTGGTTTCAAAATAGTAGCTCTACCGACCACCTGGTACAAACCATTGCTGGTAGACTACTAATATCAGCCCTACGGTGGAACCATGGCTGAGCGCCACAATATAAGCTCGTCGGCTAAGGGCTAAAAACAGGCACGTGGATTCTCAACACCAACGGCCAATTTTTTATACACCATCTTATTAGAAAATTGCCGATGCAACCGAGCAGCAGCAGGCTAGCAGCGGCCGCTAGTATCATACGCATTGGTACTCCGTACTTGAAATCACACCGCTAGTCGGCGTAGTCGGGACTAGGCAGGCCACGGCAGAGTGTATTACCATCGTAAACAGACGGATCTGAAAGGTCGGGAATTCAGACCACTCCGAGTCCATAGAAGGAGATGGGTTAAGTTAGCGTTGTAATACTGTACACAGACATACGGTTAGCACTAGTGCCTACTGTATGTACACTCATACTCCGAGTCCCTAATTGTGTTGGACTGTTTTCTTTCTCCGTAACGGGACGAGCCGCGTGAAAAAACACGCACACCACGAGGTGGGGACATTTTCTGGCCGTTTACTTAGATTGTTTTGCTGGACTCCGCTTCCAAGGAAAGCCGAATATATGATGTCATCCTAGTAAGCGGGGACTAGCATAGGCTAGAAAGGAAATTATATCTGTGAGAGGTATTAGGCGAGAAGCCAATTACACAATGAATATAGGGCAACGATATGTATTCGTAATGGTCTCCGAAATTTCAGGGTCGCAGGGAGGGGTAAGATCGGCCGGTGGATTACATGTTGTGCTAGGGGCTGAATCTCGAGCTAGAGGTTAGGGTTATCAGATACCAGACTTCGGGATCGACAGGTACGGAGACCGTTCTGGCCCGTTCTGATTACGCCGGCAGGGATGTAGAGGGGTAACGATGGATGACCATGATTCAGAGGAGGTCAAGTGGTCTTGGGAGAAAATTGTGTTGGCATCATGAGAGTAGAGTGTAGATGTTTGTACTCAGACAATAAGAGTTTAGGTTGAAGGGAACAGCGGCCAAATGCAAATCGAGAGCGAGAGACGGTAGGAATGAAACATTAAATGAAGATCTCGCACCAGACTTTCCCTATGTCTTACTCTGGATATGAAACATGTGACTGGGTCTAGGGTTGAGACAACGTACATCGAACGACATTTGATTCGGCAATTTCTGTATTGACTGACCTCGAGACGGTAAGATCATTCCACATTTAACTGTAATTTAGCTGCCCACAGGACTATAATCTCTATCTATGGTCAGATCTTGAACAAAGCAAAGTAAGAGTCTCTAGTCCTGTAGCCCAGCGTAGCTGAGCAGATATGAAAAGTGGCAATCCTTCCATCATAGGATCACCGTTAACCTCAGAAATCCATTCCTAAGGTTGAAATCAAAAGATTGCAAATCTAACACAAAGTCCCATGATCATCACCGCAGAGTACCAGCAGTTTTCTCCACTCGGAGTAAGACTAGCACCATACCGACAGGACCAAGACCGATACAATTTTATGGAAGTTACCTGCCCTCCGGGCCCAGAGCCCAGCCAATAGCATTACACATATCTTTGGGACCTTTGTACCATGGAACAGCATGGAACCAGATACCCTCCGAGTCTTCACCCCCGTGGCGCTCATCCCAACAGCCCTGTATCCGTTACCTGGTTGCTGGGACCGGCTCTGGGGGTGGGGTCCCGGAAGTTTGCAGCTCCATTTCATGAATGGGCTGTGCAAGCCACAACCTCATCAAATTTCCGTGCTTGTAATTCCGGCCCGCGGCTCGGTTTACCTACGTCTACTTTCGGGTTATACGGGTCTCCATAATGTCCGGCAGCCGTTCCTTCCAATGGGTGTCTTCTCCACAAATCCACGCACTTGCGTACCCCAATCTTAATTCTCCAGTGATGATTTTTTATTTTTATTTTTCGTTTTTTCTTTTTCCGAGAAAGAGTTTTACTTGGTATTTTTCAGGATGTCAATTATGGTTAAATCGTCTCTCAGGTCTCACCCACGTGCTTAGTTCTTTTTTGACGAATAGAAAGTTTGGTGATTACGAAAAGCCTAGGGGGGTAGTACGATAGAAGAGTAGATTACTTGAAGGTATCAGCGAGGCCATCGTATTCTGTACCTATGCATCAAAACGGTTGATTTATAACCCCGTCCTCTGGCGAGTATCTGTATCAAAAGATCCAAAGTCCGTGTACATACGCCTTTGAAAAGGACATAGGGAGAGAGGGAGGGAGAGAAAAAGAAATGACAGGCAACCGAACGCTCAGCGAGACGAAATGCACAGACAATGTAGCCGGTATCAAGAAAGCTTCAATCAAGATAGAAACGGGGGTATCAACTTCGTGTGCGTCATACCTGAGCCAAGATAGAACTGGAAAAGGAAAAAGAGAAAGAAAATTGTCGGAACAGTGGGCAGATGTGTATATCAAGTACGGTTTGCTCCATAATGGCCGTCGACTTCAGATGCCGTCGGCGGAGATTTCAACTCCGTGGAATAAATGAAACGCAACAGGACCAAATCCAAGAAATTATCAACAGGGGGGAAAAAAAAGCAACATGGTATGTTAACAGGGTATCATTGCCGGGAGACTCGTGTATTGTCCCCCTATCCAACGCCCCCAGAATGATGAAAGACCGCCCAATGAGATGACAATGATGAAATGGTGAAATGAAAAGGAAGAAAAGAAAAGTCGCAGGATGCCGGCTGCGAGCAAGATATTCCTGAAACGATGTACACGCCAGGTGTGATCGAGATCCAGGCAAGGCGGATGACACTAACCTATGGGAAAGACCCCGGGATATGTCGTAGGGCAGAAAAAGATAGCAACGAGACTCGAGATATCCCAAAAAGATGGGTGTTCAAGATAGTCGTTCATCTAGTGCGTGGTTGGTTGAGGTTACATTAATAGGTGAGTTTGATCTCCATGGGAGACCCGTGGAAGCCGCCGCCGGGGCCTTGAGCTTCGTAAATATCAGCGACCATGTCTTGACCTTCTGGAAGTTCGCGCACGACATCGTCATCAACCATGATCCGAAGTCCGTTCTGGTTGACATGCAGGATACGAACGATGCGTGATGGGTCGATGTGGTGCTTTTCGGAAATCTTCTTCATTAGGTCTCGGACGGTACGTTCTGTAAGGTAGATTGCTCGGTAAAAGTCGGGTTGTTGGTCGTTTCCAGCAAATCTAACGTAAAAGCATGCGACTGTTTTGTCATTAGTAAATAGATCTCAAGAGTAGAGAGTATTTATTCGAACTTACTCGGCTTGGGCGGTCGCTCTGCTGGAGGGCGGTAGGTCGGATCAATATCGATAGCCTCGATGTAGCCTATCGTGGAATCCTCTGTCGGAACCTTCTGAACTCCAGAAGAGTTCCTCATGTTCTTGAAGTTGCTGAACCGAGGAGAATTCAAAGAAGCATTGCTGCTACTCGGAGAGAGGATCAATGATTCCAGAGACTGAGAAGCGTTGTGGTTCTTGAGAGCCAAGCCTTCCACCTTAATGCCATCGCCGTCGGCTGGCATTCGAACGGGAAAGAGATCGGGATCATCATCCGGATCGCCGCGAAGCGCAAGAACGCTCACTGTGCGTGTTGATGAGAACATGTCTTGCATCATAGCGAGCTTAGCCTGGAGATCATCTTCCAAAGACATTTTGTCCGCCGGTCCATCGTCAGAGCCTGCGGACCAAGTGCGCTTGTGCTTCAGGCCCTTCATGTTCCGGTCGTTCTTCATATTTGCGGCAGCATTGCCGCGTTTCCGCTTGCCATAGCCGCCGCCCATCTCTGCCTGTGCGACTTGCTGCTTCAGCTTCTCGATGGTCTTCTTTACATGTGCGACATCGTTAGATAGTTTCCGCTCTGCGCCATGGTCGCGGAAAAGTTTCACTTTGCAGTATGATACTTCTGGTTCGTGTGAGTCACCAGTGTCTTCCCCTGGTACGAGGATCTCGGTCTTCGAGCATAATCGAACCGGAATACCCTTGACACCCTTCGAATGGCTGAAATCGGTTGATAGGAAATTGAATCGTACGGGAATGGTGCAGTCGGATGCACCTGTTCCCGGGTTCGCTGTCCAAGTAACACAAAATCCATCAAATGACATCTGCTCGATCTGTATCTGGCGGTGTTTGTTGTTGTCACCCCCCTGGAGAGGGTCAACGTATTCAACGGCTAACAGTTTTCCTCCGCGCTGATGTGACTCGTTCAATCCTCGGCCTTCTTTCCATAATTGCCAGCAAACTGACGGTTTCGCTCTTTGCTCTTCTTCGTCAAACGATACGCGAACAAACGTGCGGTATTTCACAGGCTCGGTGCTGGTCATAGGTGGATTTGAGTCGATCACTGTTAGGTTGTAGGCTTGTCCTTTGTTGAGGTAGGAGATTGGGACTTCTCGCCTGTGCTTCACCATTGCAGTTGGCGCTCGAAGAGTGACATTGTATCGGAAGCTATTATATTATTAGTAATGTGTTCTTGACTTCTTTTCACAAGGCAGTCACCTACTTTTCGCCTTGGGCGTATGGCATGTTCAACCCATTTGAATGGTCAGTCGAAGATGTCACAGTCGAGACTTGGTCGACTGGTAAGCTGGGAAGGGATCGATTGTCGCCCGACTCATCCATGGCGTCGAACGAATCCCGGTGCATGAATGCGCTTGGGGCAAATGATGCTTGTTGCATATAAGGATTTATATCTGGTATTTGTTGCGAAACACCGGCATACTGCTGTTGAAGGTGTTGGTCCATATGCACAGGGTGATGACCTTGTTGGGATCCGGACATGGCATTCGAGATAGAGAGTGGCGTAAACATATTCAAGCCAGCAGTCGGCGTGTGGAGATCTCCAGCTTGGTTATGAAAAACAGCACCCATTCCGGCGGAATTGGGAGTATAGAAACCAGGATGTTGACCAGCAAATGAAGACATCATCTGCATAGCGGCCGGGTCCATCCATGACGGGCTGAAGTTAAGATCTTGCAGGTTGCGAGGGGTTCGTTGATTGTGAAATTTCATGCCAACCTCCTCCATCTTTAAGTGAGGATCGGGGTCCATCGATCTGTATCCAAAAGAGACCAAATCAACACCCGGTTCCAAATTCATTGTCTTGTTGGCGACATACCTTCCGCTCAGTGGGGTGTGCCCTTCAAGCTCATGTTCGCCTTCTCGTCGGGGAACGATCTCAGAAAATGTTTGTTGGAAGCGACTGATGAATTCATCATCAGGCTTCTGAGTATTGTTTCTAAATGCGGGAAAGAACACAGACCAAAAAATTAGTGACTGTTCATGCGATCAGAGGCGGTTGACCGTTTTATGTTTGGGGACTCACCGGTTACGGAACATTGAGGGCGGAGTTGGAGGGTGGTTTTTCTGCGGCAGAGAAATCACGCGCAAGTAAAGGAAGAGAGGATATGAACCAGGTGACCTTTTACAGGTGGAACATCTAATCGCAGGCTCTCCCTACAGGTAACAAACACAGATTCCTTTTGTGAGGTTCACCTGTTGGGGTGAAGTGGGGAAGCTTTTTTTTTTCTGGCTGTCCCCTTCCCGCTAGTTCGGGATCCTCCAACGATATTGTTTGATTTGGGAAAAGGGCACGGGAGTCGAAGTATTCGAAGGGAGGACGTTTGGAATAAGGCACTGGGTCGATTCGGGCTTGATTGATTTATGTCAAATCAACGTATGTCTTCGGATTCGGAGGTTGGATAAGGATTGCGCGTCCGTGGCCAGGATGGTAGGAATGCGAGCCTCAAAAAAAGCGGAGACTCAAATAACACGGATGATGGCGGAGAAACACTCGAGTTTGCCGAAGGGTGTTATTGGTAAGGTTTCCGGTGTCGACGTAGAGGGAGACGGGAGCCAAGGAGAATTGTGGAAGTATGCGACAAGGCCCCTTTTTTATGAAGATGAGAAGAAGTTGGAGAGGCGAGGGGTGAAGGAGGGGTGGACACGGTGTATGACGAACGGACTAGAATAGGGAAAAGAAAAAAATAGAAAAGACGGTACGGTCCATGAGGCCTCCAATAATGAAAGAAGGAACTATGAGGCACCAAAATTTAACATCCACTGAGCCACACTTCCAGGGGCCAATGTGGTTGTGCAGGGGGGGGGAGAGAGGAGAGAAGGAGAGAATTATGGTGGAGTGTAGTTGTCGGAAGACTAGAAAAGAGAAGAGTTGTCGCCACTTGAGAACGATAAGGACTAGGGGCCGTATGGGGGAAGGGCTACTAGTATTTTCTCTTTTCTTTTTTTTTTTTTTTTCTTTTCTTTTTTTTTCTATGGAGATTCAAATATGGAATCAAAGTGATTGGTACCGCAGCGAAAAGTACACTAAGGGGAGGGGGAAAGGGAATTATGGAGAGGGTGGAATGAGACCCAAGGAACAAATCGGTAATCAGTGGGGGTACCAATACAACAGATACTCCACTATACAATACAAATTAAAAAAAGAACTCACAACCGAGAACTGGTAATTTACCACAATTAGTGTAATCAAGAGGTATTATCGGGGTATTCCCCTTGTATCCCTTGGATTCTTTTGATTCAATCAATTATGATTATTTCCGTTTCCACTTGGTTCTTTCATCATACTACAGTATACAGAGCGTATACGGATCTCTTTTTTTTTCTTTCTTTTTTCCCCCGTGGAACCAGCCGGAGAGCTTCCGTCAATCGATAGGGCAACGCTTACCACATCGTCGGGTCCCCCACAGATTTAAGAGAAAACGCCACATATTCCTGCCTTGTTGCCTGATATTCATGCTCCTCTATATACGGAGTAACTTTCAGATAAATACATACAATCATGTATAAGATATGAAAGTAAAGAAAAAAAAGGTTAGAATAGAAACATATGACATCCTCCCCACTAGGGTTCGGTGGCTGAAGTGGCGGTGGGAACCAGGATCATACTAGGGCGCTCTGAGCTTCACTAATCATACAGCGTGGAAGTGCATCTGCCATCAAGCCACATGACGATTCGGCGGGAGCCGCAGGCAACGAAGTTTACCCTAGAAGTTTACCCTACGGCAATTGACCCTCGGTGTACGTACATATTGGAGTACTTTGTCAGGACTGGATGGCATGTTCTCCGCGCCCTATGGAGTATGCAGAACACAAATTTGTCATTCTAAAACGCGAAAACGGGAGGAATGGAGTGGCTTGCGAATCTCCTTCGTCCATGGAACCACTGTGGCCGTGCGGTGGAGGCGGTTACCGAATCCGTAGCCCTCGGGGTCCCGTGGCAGTTGAATACCTATCGGGGTATCCATTGACTCTACGGAGTAAACATGGATCAGATCATCGTCCAATTCCTCACTACATACAGTAGGTGTATCTGCACCTACGTAGTGGCAGCACTCTTGCACGTCGGTGCTATAACAGTATCAACGTCACCAACGGCTAGGATCGGGAATAGGTCGAGTCGGCATACCCGGGCCAAAATGCTCTTTACGATCTGATCGTCAGGGCAGACCGGGGTTCATCCTTGTGGATGAGGAAGTTCATACCAAATAACTCTTCATCGGCAGGAGAAACGCATGTTGACGTCGGATCTTGTCTATCTCAAACACGTTCATCCGTTCTTTCGCATCTCGCCTGCACCCTCCAGGTATGGCGTTTATATGCACTAGTCAGCGGAAATAGCGCCCGTTTAATAACTAAAAATACCGTCAAAGCGGGGAGCTGATACTGGCTAATGAGCTACAGTACTCCGTAAACGAGAGCATAGAGTATCAAATCCCGGTGGATCCTTATTGTCATTACATCCCTCTGACAAGACTGATAAATACGCCTCGTGGGCTTGCTGTGTGTAGTGTCATTGCTGGAATGGCATCCCGCCAATAAAAGCCCTCGAATGGCAGCTCGGAGAGCTCGGAGCACGTGCCTGATACAATACGTGACGTGACGTGACCAGACTGTAGCCGACGCGCACGGGACGTTCTAAGGGGGATTGACCTATCTTGGCAGGAGATCTTCGATCGACGACCAGATTCGATTCGAATGGATCTAAGGCCAATGATACAGTAGTTGAAAAACAGCATTCTCCCACTTGCAGTTATTACGAAATTCTCACGATCCCAACAGCAGCTCAATTCCCAATTTGATATCTGATACATCTCATGGGCATCTTCGAGCTCTCCAGTGGCTGTCAGCCCGGGGAGGCCGCAGTTGCTTCTGATTGGTCGGCATCTCCTTCCGAACCAAAGCGTTGAAGAGGAATGGAGCCACCTCTGCCAAAAGCAGCAAGGATTCTCGGGTCATCGTGGCACCGGCGTATATTCACCATGTATGCATGCGTGAGAGCTGTACAAAGGCATCTCTTTTATTTGACCGCAAGATATCTGCCCAATATATTTACCTAAGTATGATATGTGCATATTACCATAATTAAACTACAGGGCTAATATCGGTGACTCACTGGTACTAGTAGTAGGTGGGTTATGCCGCTAAACAGCATCACACCGAATTGAGGACGGCGGGAAGATACCTACAGTATATCCCGGTGACACCGGATATTCAACGTCCAACGTTTCTGATATTCAAAGTGACCCGCAGCAGTTCATTCCATCTCGCTAGGCCTCTTTCGTTATCGCCGCGTCCTAGTCGGGAACAAGCATACCACTTCGAGATCGCGTAAAACTGTTGACGTCAGGGTAACTTTTCCGGCGATGTTGCACCAACCAGAAGTACTGTGGAGAATGTCGGTAGTGGGGAGTATCTTCGGTGTTTGGTTTCGTTTGCAATTGGCAAAAAAATTGGAACTGCCCATTGAGTTGACAGCCCTGTCATCTGGAGCCTTTGGAGAGAAGGCGGCGGATGTGGGCGCACGCGCGGACGCCACTGACGAGAGTGGGATAAATACATACATACACTAGGAATCCTCGGATATTCGGGGTTTGCTCCCCTGTGTGTAGAGGAGATGCACATCTTTTTATGACTTTCTGCCACTCATATTGCTTTATTTAATGAATGTCTGTGGATGGGTGGGGAGATTAGCAATCCCATTGGGGCTGGGTGAGGAACAGTCATCCGATATAGATCGCTGGATATGTAGAGTGATCTCACCAGACCCGGCACTCCTCAATTGCCCGATCGTCCAGGAGCCACGTCTGTTGTGACAGGCAGGGTCGCGATGCTACATATTTCTTGGGTGCGAGAGCGAGAACGAGGGGCGTGAATGGACGCGGTCCCTCTGCACTCTATATGTACAACACACGCACACAGTTATGAACCAGGTGATCTGGTGATCATCGGGCTAACCACAACGCCAACAACCACTTTGAACGCGACGATGCGACACCTTCTCGTTTATTGTCGGCACCGCAGATCATTACAGCTCTGCGCCAGGCAGATGGGAGCTTGGGCCTTCGTCGGGCGCATGCCTCGGGCGGTACAAAGGTACAGTATTAGTGTATTGCTGTGTGGTTGCGTACATTGTAGAAGGCGGCGGCTGCTTTATCCGCATGGACCGGGAAGGGGGGAGCAGCGATGGCGATCACTGCCGCCCATCCCGACCTGAGGGCGGGACAGGGGGGCTAAAAGGTCAGAAGTCGCATGTGCGTGCGACCAGAGACGGATACAATGAGCCAGTCAGGCTCAGAAAGGGCTTTGCCACTGCGGATTCGGGCATCCCACTGTGTGAGTCAACCTGCGCCACATGGAGCCACAGGGATGAATGTGTGGCCATAGGGCGAAAGAAAGAAGAGATCTTTTGAGCTTGCGGGGAACGGGACGGGCGGAATGGAGATGGTAGACCAATGATCTTTTGTCACTGGGTGGGGGGAAGAAGGTGTGGCGAAAAGTAGTCAGATGGGTCTTCCTTTTGGAGCATGGATAGAGCATGGATCCATTTACTAGGATGTTGAGGAAATTTCAGAAATTTCAGGCTAAAATTGTACTGTTAAGCAGGGTGGACGGAGTAGTAGCTATCTATGAGTACCTAGGTATAGAATAACTTAAGTTTCGAGAACCTTGAAAGAACACATTAATGCATATTGTAACTACTAGTAGGTAACCAGGTACCTGGTGGATCATATTTCAGTTCGCATCAAGCCCGCCGTCATAGCAAGATCAATTAGGAAGGCACAGATCAGATTAGGAATCATCCCAGAATACATGCAGGCACCAATATTATTGTGCCATGTACGGGGTACGGAGCACGCATGTACTGTGCTTCTCGAATGAGCTCGGAACGTAAAAAGGATCACATACAATGATCGACAGGCGTTACCCCACCAGCTTCAGCCTTTATTGGTTCATTCATGCATTCCGCCACTTTGCTCCGACAAATCAGGCTGTCTGCAGTACTAGTATGGTTTGGGGAAAAGAGTCCCAGCGACGAT